TATGGTGGTTGCTTTTATATACGAAGACATTTTTTCTGTGTTTCTCTAATAAAGGTAAATGACTGCTGCCTCAGACTTATTACAGTGATCATATTTATCAGTGATTTTGCATGTTTTTCTTCTTCATTACAGCCAAAGCATAGCAGTTTTCAAAGCACGGCAAAGTTTGTACGTGATTCTTTTCAGTACAGGATGACGAGCTACTCCTAGAAACTATAAACAAGCTCTGTTTTAAGTTATATACGCTTATGTTTTGCATTATCAGTGCATGCTGAAAGTGAATGAGACACCCTTTTCTTTTGCATTTAAAAGACTGCTTTCATTTTTTTTTCCATAATAAAATGGGAAGTATGTCAATATCTTATTTAGCCATACATGTTGCCTTCAGTGATCTCTCCCTGTTCATATGCAGGCAGAGTTTTGCAGAATTCATGCTCTAAAGCATCGAACCTGTCTGATAGCAATGTCATGGGATAATGCATTCTTGTTGCTATTTGAATTTTGTCTTTCAAGCACTGGGGATTAACAGAGCCTTTTTGTTTATGTTTCCTGCCCATAGACACCCAGTTTAAAAAAGAAAAAGAAAAAAACACATCCATCCAGTTCCCTGTGTGAAATAGCATGACAGTACAAAATTAATGTGCGTGATTAATTAATAAAGGTGATTTCATGTTGCCTGTGATATTCTCAACAATGTTCAAGCCATTGAAAATGGATTTTTATACTACCTCAAAATGAACAGAAACTTATGGCTGCTTACTGAAGTGAAATAAACTATGAAATGCAGGTCTGCAGTACATCCTGAATGGGCTAAAGCAGCATAAACAAATCTATCTGTGTAATTATGAAAGGACAAGGGTATGTGCATCTTTATCTTTTACAGCGAGTAGATTTTTTTAATTTCTTTTTTTCGCAAGTGAGTCAGCAAGTACATAAGTTGCATGCCTTTCTGTGCCTGTCTGCATGGATCATTTGTTATATGCCCAAGTTCAAAAAGCCTAAGCTGAGCCTCTTCCAATAATCCTGAATAACATGTAGCAGCAATTACAGCATGCCGTGGCATGGTATATTCAGTGGACATCTTGTCCTTTCCATCTCAGAGCTGTTCTGACAGATCATCCCTTGTGTCCACTCTATGGCTGACTGGTTTTAAGAAAAAGAAAGACGGTGCAAGTGAGAAAGACAGAAGAGTCAAGACAGAGATGGAGTGACATGTATTGCATGGCTACGTAAAGGAGACACGCACTGAACCCAGATACAGACTCAACCTCATAGCTGCTCTAAGTTGTTCTAAGTCACAGAAAAGACACAAAGCAGAATCATAAACATCAGTCAAACAAAGATATGTGGACCGTGTTGTCTCAGTTGATTATACACTATAACACCTGCACATTTTCAGACATGTTTGTTGTTTGTATGGGCACAGCCAAACAAATATTACCTCACTGCAACAATAAACGACCTGTACAAAATCATTGCCTGAAGCTTATGAGATCAACATTGTAAATTCTAAGTGCCCATTCCATTAAGATGGTAATTAGCCACAGCAAACTACAATATGGAGTCATCCTGAGGTGTACTCTCAACATGGGTCAGCTAAGATGTTTTCCTTCTATGTGTATGTGAATGGTGGGTGTCTAACAGTAAATGCTGTGCCCGGTGCATCAGACAGGCTCCCTGGAATGTGTTATTTTAGGTTAAAAAAATTCAAATTCACCACAGAACTTCTGCAGTGTTCCTGCCAAAGCTGACGCATCTCTGCTTCACTATTGTAGACCCAGACATGTTGGCAAGTCATTTGTTTTGAATTAAGTGATTTTCTGTCTGCCACTGTGCAGTGGCTGGACAGCTGATTCACAAGTGACAATGTAGCATGAGTACCAAATCCTCAGAGGCCAATCACCTCTGTACAGTTCAGTTCTTAATTTAACCCTTGCCATATACACTGAAAGAGAAAAAAAAATGATTGCGTGCTCTGGGGAATCTTCTCGTTGAGAATCTGCTCGTTATAATTACATGTTATCACTTCGGCACTTACCAGGGTGCTTGTTAGTTAGAACAGAGAGAGACATATTTGTGCATGTGTTAAACTCTCTTCTGGAAAAGAGCTTCTTGTAGAACCTACATCATGACTCACGCCGGTTCTCCCAGATATCCAGCTGTAACGCTTCTCATAAAAGCTGTGAATGAACTGTCTATTTCGTGTGGAGCCACATCAGTTATGAGAAACTGTCAGGATACAGGCTTAGACATTAAACCTATTCTCAGAGCTATAAGCAGCTATAAACACAATGTGTTTCATCTCAACTGCTGGAACAGCAATAATCGATCTGATGACAGCTAAAAAAACATGTTGTTTTTCTCTGCCCTGGAGGAACATGACAGAAACAAACCCTCTAAACAGACAGTTTATCAAAAGACAGAACAAATAGCTAAAAATACAACACAAGCCATTTGCTGTATGCCATGGCAAAGTCAGAGAAAAGTAAATCCTAATGCAGTGACTGGAAAAGTGGAGACTAGAGGTCTCCAGGGGTCCCTAAAGGGTCTCCAGGGGCCACAGCAAAATGAGAAACAGTTTAATTTCACTATTATTCCACTCCCTCAATAAAAGCACAGTGGGAGCATAGTGCTCTAATCCATTCTCATTAGAGGTTTTAGTCTCCCTACTGTTACACATCTAGTACAGACAGCTATACAGCTGATTGGTCAGTTGAAGCATTGAATGAAAGAAACCATTCCTCGGAGCAAAGATAGGGACAAAGCAAGAGTGCACGATAGCTATCTACCGGGGGGATCTCGATATTAAAAGTTTCAGGAGCTCTTCCTTTTTATATTAAGTGCCAAAGGTCTTGAGTGCTCATATAGTGTGTAGCCAGCGGAGAATAACCTTGTGAACTACGATTTGATCCATCACATCTAAATGTACTGACACAGAGCAAAATAATAATCCTTCATCCGAGGGAAGTGCTCGGAGAGATAGCCCTGTGACCCGGGTACAACTCATAAACTGCAGTGCGGCATCAGCTGTATTAATATCACACACTCGTCCCCGTGTATCCTTACACAGATGAATATTTCATTGCCAGAAACCTTCAGTGCGTGTTTTGCAAATTAAAGATGCGCTTAGAATGGCGCATCGGCTGTAATAATACATCTGCGGGGCAGTGTGGTGCATTATGATTGTGTCATATTTAAACATCTGTTTCATAACGCTAAAAAGTGCACGCTGTAGATCCACGTACCGTGGGGCATTACGACGAAGCAGACTTCGTCGTGGTTAAAATACGACTTAATTTTGGGGGGCAAAAGTTGAGACTTACTCACCCCTTTTGAACATATTTGCAGGCCTAGGTGTTTTTCGTCTTATGTCCTCTGAGAATCATCTATTCTTATATTCCAGACTTGGAACTTGTGCCTTTTAGTTTTGAAGTTGATCCACAGCTTTCGTGGCTCGTCGTGCGAGTGTTAGCTGTCACTCCTCTGGATTTTCTTGCGATCCACTGTATTGAGTTGTAGTTGCAGGATGGCTGCCGCGGGATTGATAAATATTAACAAACAACAGTTTTCTTTTTCATAAAGTCTGGCAGATCTGGAAATGAGGCAGAAATCACCGGGAAAGCAGACCAACTAAAAGCGTCCCTCCTCTGTCCGAAATAATGTTAACTCCAATGTGAGTGATGACCGCAAACGCTCAGTACAGTCCGACACAGCCCCTTACAGCCAACTCCTTTCAAACCCGAATCACCGTGCAAGCTTCAAATCAGTTCTGGGGGGCAAGTCGACGGTGATCACAGGAAGACTCCGATTAAAAAAAACCCCACAGATATTTCAATTCAAGTGGCCAATCTCAAATTCTTCTCTCGGTGCTTCGGTGCCGTTCAAATCTCACCATATTTAAAATCTCTAATTAACATAAGTTATTTGGATTCACATTTCGCCTCTGATGTCGGATTAGCCTATAAACGTAGACTCTTCAAATCCTCCTTAATAATGTAGACTTTGATGGCGTCGCTTTTCTTAAAATCCCCTACTTTTCCGCTCTCCCCTCGTAATTATTACATTTATGTGATCTTGTCTGTGAATATCTCTCTCTCCCTCTCTCTTTCTCTCTGCTTTCTACCTATGGTTCAGGGCTTGCTGATGCGCTCAAGGAGGGAGAAGTATGTTACCGCCTCAGCCTCCCTCCACCGGGCAGCACACTGCTCCATCGCTCTCAGTGCCTCTGCCCCTGTCAGACACACTGCTCCCTGACACCAGCGGGCTTTGTAAAACATATGAAATGACATAAGGAGAGAAAAAAACAACAACAACAACAAAAACTTCAATCACCGACAATAATCTTAATCAGCATACAAAATGTCAGGAAAACCAGGCGATATGCTATAAAAGAAACTCATTTGCTAAAGAAATTCATCCACCCAACTGTATATATTATAGATAACAGACCGATCCCCCCC